GTGCACCATTCGGTTGTGATGAAGTCATCCTGGGGGTCATTTCTGTAGTTTTAGTTATTATATGGGAATATTTTGTGATTACAAGGATGTCGACTTGACATTATTTGGTGAACTTTTTTGTTTATGTAAGTACTTGGCGATCTCATTATCCTTTGGCCAATTTGTCCTGGTGTAAAAGAGCATCCGGCAGACATTGATTGTGACTCTTGGCCAGCATTTGGTGCTATTCATACTAAACATATATTTTTGACAAAATTCTCTTGTAAAGTATGTTGTTGAAATTTTTTTAGAACATTAAATTTGATTATTAGTACTGCTAGACACCATAAAAATACTGACCTGCCATCCTCATGGGATTGTATTATCTGATGTGAATCCTTTAGAATCACTACCACTATTTGTTGAGTAGTTTTTTACCATGAGTGGCTCCGTCAGTTATTCACGTGTTATCAAATGATTGAGGATATGAGATGTGTCTAATGCTTTCTAGTGGAAGTGCAAAGGTCCACCGCATGTAGTGGCCTGAGTAAAATCTCTCTCTCTCTCTCTCTCTCTCTCTCTGTCTCTATCTATCTATCTCTGTATCCAACCTCTATGTAGGAGCACATGTTCAGATTAATGAATTAATCATTATTCTTTTCGCATCCCTTTCACTGATACATCACAATGAGCGAGGACACAAATGTTGAAGACTTAAAATTTTTAGGTACAAATGTAACTTTCTGTAGTTTACTGTTAGCGTACTGACTTGTCTTCAATTGTAGGAGACTTTTGGTGATGCTGTTAATTGGTTGACAACAATTGCCGCGAAACGAATGGGTTTAGCCAAGATTCCATCTGAAGGTGCTCGTCCTAAGCCTCTATTAGGAATTGACAATAGCAGTTATAAATTGTTTCGTCCGACAGACAAACCTATCTTTCCTGCAGCCACAACAACAAGCTCTGGAACCCCATGGAGACCTGCACGTCTTTTTAATAATAATGGCCATTTCACATTTGGAGGTATTATTTCAATATAATTGATGGAATGTATAACAAATTATATATATATATATATATTTTCATTATGTAGCGTGTATCTACTGCATGCAATCGTAAATGGTGCATTGTGAAATTAAATATTCATTACAAGATTTGATGTATGTGTTCGCAAGTTATTCAAGTATGAAGATGTTCCCAATTAGAATATGTACAGAGTGGCTACCATAGTTGCTCTTATTCATAATATCTTAATAAGTCTCTTTTTGTATCATTATTTCCACTGCATATTGGGTTCCCATATGTGGGTGATTTAACTATACTTTTTCCCATTCAATAAAAGAATTTCGTATTGGTTATTTTCTATCGATAAATGATGTTAGTTCAGTTGAGAGTGTACTTAAATTCTACGCTTTGGTTCTATACCCTCCATAACTGACGATGTGTTTGAAAATTGTGATCATCTTGCTTAATTTTTTATACTGTTTTGTGCTCATGGTCTCAGGAAGCGAGGTTTCAGTTCGAGGAATGGGAAATGGCAATGCAGTTACTTCAAATGAACCTGATGGAGGTAAGGGGTGATAAGGTCTTTATGATTAAATGATCGTCAATAAAGCTGTTAATTCTCTGGTTAATCTATCACGACTTATGTCCATTTATGGTCTCATCCGTATTATAAGGTTTGAGTGCTTGTTGCGTTTTTAATCAAGTTATCATTTGCTTGCATTTTCTTATGAAATTAATTTCAAGAGCTCAATGCCTATGTCCACAAAACAAAATCCTCATAGAATGACCTCAAATTGTGAGTTTAGGATGGAGATTCCTTGTAGACTGTCCCGAAAAATTGATGTGGTTCAACGCTGATCAAAATAGGTGGAAAATATATGATAACCCTATTGCCTTTTAACTTAAACGGACATAGCCTTTGAAAATAACTCATTTAATACTTTTGTCCCTTGCATCGCACGTGGTACGTACTAGTTTATTAAGTAGCACAACAACCGTTAATTACGCAGTTGCTAGTTAATAAATTTATACTTCAATTATAAAAAAAGAAGTATGAAAGAGGAGTTTTAATTTAACACGTTGTTATTATTTAAATTTGAAATAGTACTATTCACTTGTACAATTTATCCGTCTTATACTATAGTATTAATTTATAATTTTATAGATATTGATATATAATTTTATATTTTCAGTTAGTCTTAATAGGTAATTTAATTGTTATAATAAAGAGGACTTCAATTTCTTTTTATTCTTATTTTTGAGATACGTACTGGATAGGGTTTGGGTCTCTGCATAGTCTGGCATAAAAAAAATTTAATCCAGAAACTATACGCCTCCCAATACACAAAGAAAACCAGAGAAAACCAACAAGAAGCGTTTGGCAATCTAAGTCCCTACCCCCGTTTTCAATTCTAACGACAACTTCATAAGTGTGTGTGTGCGCGGGTACGATTGATATTTTTTCCTTTGTCAATGTGTGTGTTGAAGGTTATGTAGCTGTGCAGACGCAGAGCAAGATAGCAGTAATGGGGTCTCAATTTGATGCCGTCAAAGCAGAAAAATCTATCCGGCAGCTGCCACTAGATCACTGAGAGCTAAATCATCAAGCTGGAATATGAGAGCTCTCAATATCCAGTTTGCGAGGTCTCTTACTGCTTTTATCTTTTCACTTACTCATTTCTTTTTTTTTTTTTTTTTATTTAAACTATTAATGCTTGGAGTACTGATTTTGCTAGTTATTTGTATTTCTTGGGTTAGCTGTAGTGATTGTGTGCTTCGTTCTGGGGTGGACTGCAGAACTTTTGGTTCAAATTACTGAACTGTGGCCATCAATTTTGTGTAATACTTTGTGTTGACCCCAGCTTATCTTAGATGGGTGAAATTGTTTGTAGGAGGGTGGAGTTGCGAACATTGAAATTTTGTGTGCTGGGTTGACCTCAGTAATTTGACACTGTCATGCTTAAGTTGGCAAAAAGTTTTCTGTTCCTAAGATCGTGTTTATATGTTTAACTGGAATGCTGTTGGCAGTACCACAAGTTTGAAAGTTAGATACTCTAAAATCATCGGGGTTTTATTTGTATCAGTTCATGTTCTTTTGCTTGCTTTCTCTGCTATGTTATGTCATAGATTAGACGTTTGTGAGTACTGTGATTTATATCGATACCTGAGATGTGTTGTAGTAGTGTAGTGGACTTCTTCTATTTCCTTCTGACATGGTTTAGATTTGTTTGGTAATGTTGTGAACTCTTACATGATCAGTTGGATACAAAGTCAATTACACAACCATCCAGATGAGCTTTGGGATGGAGTGCAGGATTACTTAAACCATGCTATATGCGTCATGGTAATTCTCAGTATCTGCAATTTTACTCACTATCTAAGTCGTCTAGTGCACCATTCGGCTGTGATGAAGTCATCCTGGAGGGTCATTTCTAAAGTTTTTAGTTATTATTATATGGGAATATTTTGTGATTACAAGGATGTTGACCTGACATAATTTGGTGAACTTTTTTGTTTATGTAAGTACTTGCCAATCTCATTATCCTTCGGCCAATTTGTTTTGGTGTAAAAGAGCATGCGGCGGACATTAATCGTGACTCTTGGCCAGCATTTGGTGCTATTCGTACTAAACATATATTTTTCACAAAAAACTCTTGTAAATTAGGGCACCCGCATTGCCTTAATTTTTTGGGCGTTTAAACGCCAACATGGCGTTCAATCCTTGTTGTGGGCATCCGTTAATGTTGAGGGCCCACTATGGCGTTCAAAGTGCTGAACGCGTTCAGCCCTTATTTATTTATTTATTTTTTTTTTGTTTTAAACCAAAACACGCTGCTTTCTTTTCTCTTTTGTTTTTTTGTGCATGGTGCTTTTGTCTTTTTTTTTTTTTTTTTTTTTTTTTTTTTTTTTTTTTTTTTTTTTTTTTTTAAGTTTTAATCTTTTGTTTTTTGTTTTAAAATAATTGTTAATTCAATCTTATTTTTCTTTATATTTAATTTATTTTTGTAATTGTATTATTCTTTTTTGTGTAATCTCAATTTAAGTTATTTTATCCTTGAAGTGTTTTTTATTTTCATGTATTTAAAAATAATTATTATAATTTAAAAATATTAAATTTTATTTTTATTGATAATAGAATATAAAAATTTACATTGAATGAGTGGATAATGGGTCCCACATATGTATTTAAATGAATGTGGGTGTGTGTTTAAATGGAGAGAGATTTAGTGGAAAAGTGATGTGGAGATGATGTGGATGAGAGAGAGTGTAACTTTTTGATTGAATGAGTGATATTTGTGTTAAAGGGATGTGGATGCCCTTATGTTGTTGAAATTGTAAACAAATATTAAATTTAATTATTAGTACTGCTAGAAACCATGATAATACTGACCCTGCCATCCTCATGGGATTGTGTTATCCGATGTGAATCCTTTAGAATCACTACCAATATTTGTTGAGTAGTTTTTTTACCATGAATGGCTCCGTCAGTTATTCATGTGTTATCAAATGATTGATTATATGAGAGGTGTCTAATGGTTTCTAGTGGAAGTGCGAAGGTCCACCGCATGTAGTGGCTTGAGTAAAATCTCTCTCTCTCTCTCTCTCTCTCTCTCTCTCTCTCTCTCTCTCTCTCTCTCTCTCTCTCCGTCTCTATCTCTCTCTCTCTCATCCTCTTTGTATCCAACCTCTATCTAAGAGAACATGTTCAGATTAATGAATTAATCATTATTCTTTTTGGCACCCTTTAACTGATACATCACAATTAGTGAGGACACAAATTTTTGAGGACTTAAATTTTTAGGTACAAAAGTAACTTTCTGTCGTTTGCCATTAGTGTACTGACTTGTCTTCAATTGTAGGAGATTTGTCGTGCTGTTAATTGGTTGAGAACAAATGCTGTGAAACGAAGGGGTATAGCCAAGATTCCATCTGAAGATGCTCGGACTAAGTCTCTATTCAGAATTGGAAAAAACAGTCATACATTGTTTAGTCCGACATTGTTTTCGGACAAACCTATGTTTCCTGCAGCCACAACAGCAAGCTCTGGAACCCCATGGAGACCTGCACTTCTCTTTAATAATAATGGCCCTTTCACACTTGGAGGTATTATTTCAATATAATTGATGGAATGTTTTATATATATATTCACTATGTAGCGTGTATCTACTGAATGCACTCGTCAATGGTGCATTGTGAAATTATATATTCATTACAAGATTTGATAATGTGTTTGCAAGTTATTCAAGTATGAATATGTTCCCAATTAGAATATTTACAGAGTAGCTACCATAGTCGCTCTAATTCATAATATCTCAAGTCTCTTTTTGTATCATTAGTTCGCTCTTATTCATGATATCTTAAGTCTCTTTCTGTATCATTAGTTCCACTGCATACTGGGTTCCCATATGTGGGTGATTTAACAATAATTTTTTCCCATTCAATCAATAGTTCCACTGCATACTGGGTTCCCATATGTGGGTGATTTAACAATACTTTTTCCCATTCAATAAAAGAATTCCGTACTGGTTTTTTTCTATGGAAAAATGATGTTAGTTCAGTTGAGAGTACTTAAATTCTATACTTTGGTTCTTTATCCCTCCATAATTGACGATGTGTTTGAAAACTGTGACCATCTTGCTTAATTTTGGATACTGTTTTGTGCTCATGGTCTCAGGAAGCGAGGTTTCAGTTCCTGGAATTGGAAATGCCAATGCTGTTACTTCAAATGAACCTGATGGAGGTAAGGGGTGATAAGGTCTCTATGATTAAATGGTCGTCAATAAAGCTGTTAATTTTCTGGTTAATCTATCTCGGCTTAATGATCATCCATATTATAAGGTTTGAGTGCTTGTTGCGTTTTTAATCAAGTTATCATTTGCTTGCATTTTCTTATAAAATTAATTTCAAGAGCTCAATGCCTATGTCCACAATACAAAATCCTCCTAGAATGACCTCAAATTGTGAGTTTAGGATGGAGATTCCTTGTAGACTATCCCGAAAAATTGAAGTGGTTCACCAATCTTAACAAGGATTTTTTTCTTAATGTGCATTAATACTGATTAGACTTTGATTCATCTCACTTTTGCTCGTTACACAGATATTGCCAAGACTATATAGGAATATCATATACAAAATCCAATAAAGATGAGTACTTGCAACCAAATGTCTTAAATTACATGATAGCCCAAGTTGATATGTTATCCAATGGTGGGATAGACAGAAAAGTTGATCGGTTGGTCTTAGTTCATCATCTGCAATTGTTACTTACTAGCATGGAAATAGAACCCTTTACTCTCATATATATAATATTATAGATGTCACCTCTTATGTTCGTAGCCTTTATTTTTGACACCCATATCTATTAGATTTTTAGCTTTTGAATATAGAACTTTCTATAGTTTCTTTTGTAATTCTTCCAGAATCATCGGTAAAAAATCGGCAAGCTTATGTATTCACAGATGTCTCATATTTTCCAGTTGTGTTCATAAATATACCTCCACGTTTCAATGATTAGCAGTAGAAGCATATTTAATGTAAAAGTTCTCGCTTTTGTTTGAATGTATATTCTCATTACCATGGGCGTAATAACACTTGCTTCCTTACTCATATTTGTAAGATGTATGGGTAGAAGGTTTGCGTCAAATATTTTGATTGCTTTAGTTAAACTTTTTTTTTTCTTATGTCGATGCCTTGGCGAGCAGAAGATGATATTGATCGGCCCAGTAGTCTATCTGTGAAAAAGAACCAAGAGGAGGGCATTATTGTTGTGCATGAAGTAAATTGCGAACTTTATGTGAAGGTAAGTATGTGTTAAAATTAACTCTGTGATTGAAGGGATATTTGATTAGGAAGTTTCCCATTTAATATTGGCATAAGTAGAATTAGTTTGCATGATAGATCCTTGTATGCCACAAATCAATGAGATTGCACAAAACCAATGAAATGATGAATGTCACTTCTGAGTAATTCATGAATTGATAGGTGGATCCTAATAGTAATTCTATTTTATTCTTATTTCTTTGGTAATTGTGTGTAGTTATTTTAGTATCAATAAGTATGTATGATCATAATATTTTAAATAATTATTGTGTTAGCTCACTACACTGTACTTTCTAGTTTATTAATGCCACTCGCAATTGCGATACACATTCTCATCCCAATGTCATTCGACTGAAATGAATCATAAAATACGTAACGATCCACAAATATTGCTTGTAATAATTTCAAGGTGTAAATATGATACACCCCCCTTTTGCTACTATAAAACTCAAGCATTTTTGGTGGATGGAGCAGAAGTGTGTTGATTGTCCAAACAACATTTTCACTGATTGTGTGTTGTAGAATTTAATGCTCACCAGTTCATGTAATCTTAGCCCCCT